ATCAATATAGATGAATTACATCAGTCAGTATATAAGAAAACTTTTTTTTAAACTTTTTATCATATTAATTTATTAATATGCTCTAATCATGTGAAGGTTACTTTGTTAAAAACATACTATTGATTTATGCTATTCATAAGTATATACATAAATTATACATATAATATGCAATTATAGATTTGATACCTCTATGAAAGTTTAGTTCATATTACTTAGCATTAGTATTTTAATTGTTTCAGTATTAATGTGAATAAAAAGATTTTTAGATTAGCGCATAAGAATTCATAAGTATAATTTTAAAGAATTTTCAAATATTTATTTTAAATAATACTTTAATTGAAAAAATATATATATATATATGTATATACGGATAAACTAAAGATCAAGACAGATACTAAAAGGTTTGTTTTATTTGTTTTACAAGCTTCTAATATTTATGCTTTGAGTATTTTTCTATTTATGTTAAAAAAATTTACCAAATTCACTAACATTATTAAACCTTGAAGAATAGGGCATATATAATAAATACAAGGTATTCAATATTATCAACAGATCTATTAATATCGAGAAGATTTTATAAACCTTTAATGCCAATATCATTGTCAAGAAGAAATTAGAATTAAAAGATGATAGATGTTTATTGATTATTAAAATATAATAAGCTTTAGAAAATTGCTATTATAAAAGAACTATGTTAAGAATGATAAAGGTAAGACAATTGAATACCATTAAATCTATGAAAATGAATTAAACTAGCAGAATATTAACATGTATTAGAATTGAAAATGATGTATTAAGACATTCCACATATGTAAAATTTATAGACAAAGCGTAGCTGTGATTGTATCATATTAATTCTTGTAGATTAATTGGATCAATTCTTTTTTATTTTACTGAAGAAACAACTTTATTCTGTAACTGTTTGCATACGATTTCTAAATAGGTTATACTTAATAACATAAAGATACTTATTTATGAGTAAGGTAAAAGTGTTATTTTGACAGGAATTATAGGTTGCCCTGGAGATAAGACTAACATAACAAACTGAGCATCAAACTTAATTAAGGTTCCTAATTCGTGAAGGTGCAAGGTATTTATATAGACCAATTTTTAGTTAAAATTTGTATCAAATGAATGAGGTATAGATAACTAATAATCTAATTTTAAAGTGTTGTGCAAGTAATATTAAAGTTGCGGAATCAAGGACAAGATGTGTATCATCATGATATTTATAATGATTCTACTATTACCAAACACAAAATTAGCTGAGATAGGTATAATAGTTATAAAACTAAAACAAATAGCAGAAAGGTAGTTAGATAGTTTCTGGATAACAAATAAATTAAATGCTATTTTTAAACCATATGACAATTCAAGTAGATGAGATACTGCACGTCAATTTTTACACTCTTCAGGCTCAGAAGATAAGTGTAATTTGAAAATGATTAATGCTCTCATAATTCATACTAATAATAATTTTTTGAAGATAACTCATATTTTATGCTAAATATTAGTTAAAGAGATTTATTTTTTAATTGATAGAAAGTGACTCAGGATATTGATGCGGCATTTGAGTATATAAATAAGTTTGAAAGGTATAATTTTAATTTTTACAATTAGTGCATCACATATGTATATAGTTTTTTTGAATATTGTATTAAATAGTCTAAGATTCTTTATTTAAATTAGAATGTTATTATAGAACTAATAAGTTTGAAGGGTATAATTTTAATTTTACAATTAGAGCATCACATATATATATAGTTTTTTTTGAATATTGTATTAAATAGTCTAAGCTTTTTCATTTAAATTAAAACTTTATTATAGACCTAATAAGTTATCATCAATAAGAGCATAATGAATTTCAATTGATATATGACAATATAAAATTGGAAAAAAATATGCCAAAGTTGTACATGGAAAGTTATTAGTAGTATGCCGTATTATCATGAAATGACGCCCTCTAGGTATTATTTCAAGACACATTTTTTCCAGAGAATTAAGATTTATTTTTGATAAATAAAATCAATAATTTTGTTCTTTAAAAGTCTTCAAATTAAACCTTACCTCTCTGAAAAAAATGAGTCTTGAAATAATACCCCAGGACATTATTTTGTGATGATACAGTATAGTTTTTATTTTTATTAAAATAATTAAAACTAAGGTTGTCATATTAATATATATTAATAAATTTTTGATGAAATAATGTAGACAGAGAAATCAATTTTTTCGAGAATGATATTTCAGAATTTAGGAAGAATTATTTTAATACTTTGGAAGAATGTTATAAACTGGAAATATATAATTTGTAGATTACTTAATACTACTAATAGTAGTGAAGATTTACAAAAGTTAACGATTTTATGTTCATTTTTTAGTATTGTTCAAAATTTAATATTTATGTTTAATATCAAAAATGCAAGTGACTTTGGTGTTTTTCAGAATTCAATATTTATGTATAGTATTAAAAATATAATTAGTATTTAAATTAAATTACAATTTTAAAATTGAAATCATTTAAAAAAAAAATTTGAATCACTAATTTTTTATTTACAATAAATTTTATTTAAAGTTTAATAAAATTGTCCTACTAAAAATCAAATCATAATCCATCCAGCCATTAATACATTTTCCTTGTTATCATTAATTTCTTTTTGTTCCCATATAATAATCATTTCTGGATTTTTAGGATCCATATGAAGAGAGCTTCGAAAAGGTTTAATATGTGTTATAAAGCTCATAGAACCTGATACAAGAATAACCTCTGACTATTGACCATGTTCAAAAACTCATCTTCTCCAATTTGTTTTATAAAATATATGACTTAAAGTATCATATGCACTATACTCTTCAAAGTAATACGTATATCTTTGCTGACAAAAAAAATAATACTTGATATGGTCTCGAAATATACAAATAAATTCTAATTCAGTTAATAGTGAAGAAACTGTTTAAAGACCTGAATATTTAATATGTAATTTGAGACGAGATCTAATTAAATAAGCCAAAGTTGCTTTTATTTTATTAATATGATCCTGAAGAAGTTCATTAACCTGTTTAGATATATTGTAATTATTATGTTTAAGAGTTTCATGTCAGCTCCAACTACTTTTGTTTTTAAAAAAACTATGTGAACAAAGTGGACAAGAAAATAACTTAGGTGTAGTTGCTTGGTGAACAATTCTTTGATGTATATGTAAGCCATGAAGATTTTTTAGTATTTTGTTAATACAAAGTAAACAAGAAACACTATTTTGAGTAGTTATTCTTTGAAATATAATAATGTTAATAAAAATACTATTGCTTATAGAACTTAAATAAATATATATTATTATTAAACCTCTACAACTTCTACTTCTCAATTACTTAAAATCACGCAAAAAAAATAGGTTAACAGATTGGGAAATAGATTAGACATAATAAGTTGATGCTATTTGTATAATCGAATAATATTTTGATATAAATTTTTATTAAATTTTAGGGTATATTTTGGTTCTAAAAAAAAGGCCCAATTTTATAAATCTGCTAATATATTATACGAATTATAACAATTTTGATAAAATTTTTAAAAACTAGAACTAAATTCTTCAGCTTTAAAAAACAACTTAACAAATTTATACATTTCTAACCCTTTTATAATAAATTAATACTTATTTTCTTCATCAAAATTACTATTACTTATAGCTTTACTGAATTTTCTATTCATTAAAAGCATATAATCTATCTTTATTAGATATTCAAAATAATAAATAATTTTACTAAAAAAAATAATAAAATCTTTGATTCAATTATATTAGCTAATATGAGCAAAATGATCATCAATTGACTCAACAACCATATTTGTAATAATGAAATCTAAAAAATATTATATAGTATCTCTCAACTGCTTATAAAGAAATAAAAGTATATAGTGCATACATTCTTTAAACTTGTCTATATTATAAGTGTTCTGTATTAAATTATTACAAAGGTTTAGGATTAAATTGTTTGTATTTTTATCTTGTAAATCAAAATAGTACTATATATTTAATATATAACTTATTACAAATTTTTTATATTTTGAAGAAAGCTTTTAATAAAAGTATAAAATTTATTCAATTTATATTAAAAAAATATCATTTGTTTAAAATTACAAATTTGATTAACAATTGATACAATTTGCTAATCTTATAAGTTTAGTTAGATTTAACTTTAAATTTTATAATTCTATTTAACTTTGTTAATACTTTATTGCTTAAATATACAATCTTAGTTATGTTTTAAAAATTGCAATTATATAGAACAAAAACAATCATAGTTATAACTGTAGATAATTATAACTATGATCATAATTGCAAGTAATAAGTAGATAGCTATATATTAAATTAATAAGCTTTTTAATTTGTTTTTTGTTATAATTGTTTTCTTCATAATCTACTTATATAGTTGACTTGAATTTTTAGATAAAAATATAAAATGAGATTTAAATAATATGAATAAAAAGTCTAAATAAAAAAATTATTAAAGTTAGTATTAATAACTATTAAAAT